ATGGTTACCAGGGGGGAAAGGGGATAGGGAAAGATAAATTGAGAGTTCAGAATTTGCAGATACTAATTACTATATATAAAATAGATAAATAACAAGGTTCTACTGTACAGCACAGGGAACTATATTCAATATTTTATAATAACCTAAATGGAAAAGAATATGGAAAGGAATATATATATTTGTATCATTGAAACACTATGCTACACACCAGAAATTAATACAGCACTGTAAACCGACTCTACTTCAATTTAAAAAAAAAGGATGGACTTCCACGTGTTGGTGAGGATGTGGAGAAACTGGAACCCTCATACATTGCCGGTGGGAATGTAAAACTGGTACAGCCACTTTGGAAAACAGTTTGCCAGTTCCTCAGAATGGTAAAAATGGAGTTACCATATGATACAGAAATTCCAATCCTATATATCAACAATAAATGAAAACATTCACACAAAAACTTGTACCCAAATGTTCATAAGAGCATTATTCATAACAGCCAAAAATGAAAACAATGCAAATGTCCATCAACTGAAGAAGAGATTAATAAAATGTGGTATATCTATACAGTGGAATATTTTTTGGCCTTAAAAAGAAATGAAGTACTGATACACATTACCACCATGTGGATCAACCTTAAAAACACTATGCTAAGTGAAGGAAGACACAAAAGACCACATATCATGCAGTTCCATTTATATGAAATGCCCAGAATAGGCAAATCAATAGATCAAAAGTATATTAGTGGTTGCTTGGGGTTGGGAGGAGTTGGAAGGGGAGGTGTCTGCTAATGGGTATAGGATTTCTTTGGGGGATGATGAAAATGTACTGGAATTAGTGATGATAGAACAACTCTGTGAATATACTAAAAACTGCTGACTTGCACTCTTTAAAGAGTGAACTTTATGCTATGTGAACTATATCTCAATAAAGCAGCTATTTAAAAAAATAAGACTGAGCTGGAACAGATGCAGTTGTTAGTCTGTTAACAAAGGTTGCCTGCCACATACTCATGTATCAAGACATTATCACATATTATCATTATGACATTTCCCTTTTAGTTTAAGTTTACTTAGGACCTAGAAGAAGAGAATAGTGTTTACCGCTTTTAAATTTCAGAGGGTATCTGAAGACTAAGGCGAAAGAAATGAGAAGATTCCTTGAAGCAGACTCTACAGGCTTCTTCCTCAATTTTCTTAAAGCCAGATCAGTTGGAATGCTGATTTAAGCTGAGATTATTTTAAATACTGGAAGAAAGCTGGATTTAACTTAGTTAGAGCTACAGTTTTGTGGGTGCCATCTGATAAAAGAACCACATTGAGAAATGCTGAGCAGTAATAACCCCGCTGTTGACAACTAATAAAAATCCTGAAAAGATCTGCAAGAGGACAGTGCAGAGGCTGCTTTCATAAGATGTTGCAACTCATTAGATACATAGGACTAGATCAGGAGAAGGAGGCAAAGATGCCTAGGGTTTCAAGCCTAAACGACTAGAAAATGATGGAACCATTGACAAGAGTTAGAGGAAGGGCTGGTGTGAGTTCCACTGCAGGCACACTGAGTTTGAACTGCTAACAAAATACCAGTGTAGAAGTACAGCATTTTTAGAGCTGAAGGGACCCTACTGATGATCTAGTGACCAGTGCCTTTATTTTCATTGAGAAATCTCAGGCTGAGTGAGAGGGAGTGAATTGCCCTAAGTGTGGTTGAAAATTGGTACCAGAGCTCCTAGGCTAGCATTCTGACCTGCAGGTAGCTGGAAATGTAGATCAGAGACTCAGGAGAGAAAGAGCTGCTAAAACTACTTGGACATCATCTGAATTGTAGGGATAGTTGAAGTTACGAGAGCATTTCAAGAGGCAAAAAGGATGCTGAAATCAATGACTGCAAGATAGATATCAAAGAGTGAGGTCGGGTTCTCCTAGCCTGGGCTTTCAGAGAGGCACCTCCTTCTTCAGACGACTGATTGAGGGCCTGGGTTTTGTCAGGCACTGTGCTTGGGACACAGTGGCAGATAAAACAGACTCCCTGCCCTTTTGGAGCCAACAGCCCAGGGAGAGACAAACAGATCCGCAGGCAATTCCAGTGCAGTGTGATAGATGCTGTGAGATGGGAGAACACAGTGCTGCGGGAGCAAGCCAGTCCCACAGCATTGCTGGTCCAGAAATTGAATTTCATTGGTTTACCCAGAATTGACTAGGCAGGCAGGAAAAGGAGAAAATGGAAAAAAAAAAAAAAAAGAACATACTTTGAGACCAAAGACTGAACTATACCTACTAAACTCACCAAACTTTGAAGGATAAGCTACAATAGTGACAATACTTTACAAGGGAAGTCTCGTCAGCCCTACTTCTCACTTGTGCTCAGCCTGCAAGGTAACCCCATCCCCAGGTCAAGTTCCCCTGGAATGAGAAGGTTGCTCGGTGAATTCAGAATTTGAAGGAAGTAAATATTCTTAAAGACTATTTCATCAAAACCTATGAAATTATTTTTGTCCTCAATAGGTATCACCTTTCCAGGGACCAGATTATTCTGATTCTTGTATTCTTAATATTCAGAATACTCTTACATAGAGCTGGATAAATAGACTGATAGATTCTATACTCTGGCTTCCTTTGTAAAAACTCCATTTTGACAATCATACCTCTATAAATGCAGTGTTTTAAAGATTTATTTGTTTATTAGGTAATTCATTCACATGTTCAAAATGTAAAAGTACAATAGGGTACATAGTGAAAAAGCTCCCTCTTGCCCCTGTCCCTCAGTCACCCAGGTCCCTGCCCCAGGAAGAACTTATGTTATCAGTGTCTTGTGTACTCTCCCAGACATATTTTCTAAATGCAGTCCAAATAAAACATTTTAAAAATTCCATCTTTCTTTAATTACATTCCAATCATGAGAATATATTTTGGTCACCTTTTTTGAACTTGAGTAATCTCACTTTTTTCTGATTTATTCAGAGAGATGTCCTCTCTCCTAACTATAGGTACAAATGTCTCTTTCAATGGGTGACTTCTGCAGATAGCCAATCTCATCCACTGAGTGTGTGTGTGCATGTGTTTTACCAGTTTCACAGAGGATCTTTATCTCTAAGTTCTAGGACCACATTACGATTGTTTCCTGTGTACAGATTCTGATGTCAACCACGATAGTGAGATAATGAATTCTTACAGTAAGTTCTTTCGTTATTCATTTTTCTGACCCAATGACTTTACTAGCTTCTTGTTTTAATCTCAGGGCATATTATAAAAAAAACAACAACTGTACTTTGTTGGCTGAAACCAGGTATAGTTGGGTATATTCCCAAAGCAACAGTGATGAGGGAGAAATTGGAAAGCAGAACCATTTTCCATGCTTCTGATATATTTTCTAACCTTTGTCCTTTTGTCCCTTTTACCTTAAATTATGCCTCTAGATTAACCTACAAGAGTACACTACTATTAGACACGAACATGCATAACCATTAATTATGAGACCACCACGATCCTACAATTACTAGTTTGATCCAAGTTATTGGTGTCACACTCACCTATTGCCAGTGAGGGAGAAGAAGGCAGAGTTCACAGTCTTTTCCTCTTTTTTCTGAATAAAAGCAGCAATCTCAATTTCCAGGGTGTTGCCAGGTATCACCATCACTACTTTGCAGAGTTGGCCCAGCAGTAGATGAACACACCAGTATCGAACTTGTGCTTCCAACTGATGAGGTCAATCTAAAAATTGTTACAGAACTCTCTCAAGAAACAATGACAAAAATTAATACATTAATAAATAGAAAGGAAAAGTAGGGGCTGTCTAAAGTGATTGGTTTGCTTTTGTATCAGTAGAACTGATTTGGGTGGCTCTATCCACACATTTCCCTCTGGATTCCTGGAGATAAGGGTATGTTCTATGGCTATCATAAGAGGTTTTCTTTATGTAAAACTTTAATAATACCCTGGCCTCATTATTTCCAGGCACTTCCAATTCTTGCTTCTACAAAATGAAAACAGTGTCTTTTGATGAGTGGCATGAGGATGTTTGTCCTCATGGCACAGAGTGATGTCAATACCACTTGCTGTGAATACTTCCTGACCTCTTACAGCCCTTCACTGTGGAGCAGCACAGCACGTCTCTGGCCACAATGACAGTGTGAGACCTTAGGGGTGGCCGCATTTAACTGTTGGGAGAAGGTGCTTTGTACATTTTGAGAAATGTCAGAGATTTCCCAACACTTTCACTAGAAATGTGACACCTTCACCAGAAAGGTGAAAGAATTTAGTTCCAGGTCACACAGCAAGTTAGCAGCAGAGCTAAGACAGGAACTTAAGATTTACTGGTTCCTTTCACCCTATTCTCACACTTGGAGGCCTCCTTATTGTTAGAACTGGTAAAATGTTACTCACATTCATATGGCTCAGTGCCTCGTCAAGTTCTACATGGACAATCTCTCCTTTTTGGCCAATCCTGTGTACCAGGGGCAGTGAACGCAACTGTTCTCCCTTTGACGATAAGAAGATTGCAACTCAAGAAGACACATAGTTGTCTATTACAGAGTCAAGACCAGAACCCAGTTCTCCCAATTCCCTCTCCATGGCTCCTTCCACCAGGCCATCCTGCTTGACTGGTGCCTTCCATCAGTGAACGGGAAAACAAGTGTGAGACACGAGAACTAAAAGGACAGCTCATTAAAAATAATTACACCCTTTGTGGGGACAGAAATGAAATATTCAAATCTCTTTGTTCCCTCTCCTGCTAGCAACTTAAACGTTAACCTGATTTCTCTAGTTTTGCACCAATCTGCAGCAATCAAGAATTTGCACCGTTGGGAGCTACTTTTCTAACAAATGTATCCTAATCAAATTGAAACAAAATTTTAAATACATGAAATGGAAGGGGGAAATAACTGTCTGTAGTCCTCCCTTATTTCTGGCCCACATTCATCATGACTGAGTTTCTCAAGCCAGGAAATATAGCCAAGGACAGTTTGAAACAGCAGGTATTCCAAAGAACAACTAACAAGATAGTGGGTGGACCACGCAGCAGCCCCGGGAGAGGATGACCCGAGTTCCAGACTTGGTCCCCTCCAGGCTCCATCCCGCTGTTGCTAAGAAGCCACCTAAACTTGAGGTGGTTTCGTTCACTGTAAAATGAGAGGACGGGGTCAGTGCACATAGATGAATTTAAACGTGTTACTGTATTCACGCTTTGCCTATTTAAATCCTTGAGTGTAAATTTAAAACAACATACGTCTGTATCATTACGTTGATTCTTCAGAAGTCGCGTCCTCCTCCCCGTCCCCGAGACTAGGGACCTCGTTCTGGCGGACCCGGGCGGGGCTGGCGGAGCGCGGCACAAGCCAGCGCGCGGGCTGACACGCAGACAAAGGGCCAGCCCGGGGACTCGACCCCGCGCCCCCGCGGTTCCCAACCCGGGGCGGCCCCACGCTCCGCGCGCCCCGCCACCTGCTCCCGGCAGCCAATGGGGCGCGCGGGGGGGCGGCCGGGGCGGGGCGAGGCTACAAAAGGCCTCGGGCCACGCACCCGGGCACCCCACTGCGGGCGCGCTCTCGGGAGGCCCGGACGGACGCGGCCGAGCTCTGGGCACAGTCGACTTGCGGACCAGCGGGACAGCGGGCGATGCTGCGGGTGCGGTGTCTGCGCGGCGGGAGCCGCGGCGCCGAAGCGGTGCACTACATCGGTTCTCGGGTGCGTGCGCCGCCGCCTCGTGCTCTCCCCCCTCCTTCCCTCGCTTTCCCCCGCCGGCATTGCAGGACAGTGTCCCTTCTGGGCCCCTTGGGAAGCTCGGCTTCAGGCGCCTTCGCTGGCTACCGGGGACTTGGCGGTGTCCCTGGGGAAGGGGGCGTTCGTTGGGGCCACACCCCGTGGGTGCAGCTGCTCTCCGCGCGCCTCGACCGCGGTGCCCGTCAGCGCGGGGGGCGCCGCCCTCCCCTGCCCGACCACCGCTCGCTCCCGCCGAGCTTCTGGCCCGGGGTGGGGCCAGCAAGCAACATCTCTTAGTGGAAGGATGGCCTTATTGGGTTTCATTGCCCTGGGTGGGCAGAGTTGGGCATGCGTGTAGGGTGGGTGGAAGGGAGAAGGGGCAAAGTGGGAATCGCAGACGGAGGGCGAGCGAGCAGGCCCGCCCCAAGTGTAACATGGAGTCCTGAGTCGCAAGAGGAGCTGGAGCGAATTCGGTCTGTACCCAGATTTCTGCCCAGTCCCGCCCTCTGCTTTCCTGGTATGTAAGCACGCGCCTTCAGACCCTCCCTAGCTCCTGGGACGGGAATAGCCCGGCGCTTTGGCTACCCCCTGCAACTGGTTTCAGAACAGCTGTCATTCCCTCTTGTTTGGTCTCCACCCTGGCCCCCCTCCTACCTCCCTCCTAAGGCTTTTAACAGGGTAGGATAGAGATTTGGGGGCGCGGGGGGCGGGGGTGGGGTTGAGGTTTGCCTAGTGTGTGAGGGACCTCCCTGCTCTAGAGTTTATAGGCTCTACATTTTCAAAAGGCTTTTCTGAAGTTCTTAGATCTTCTCTCTAGTTGTTTAAGTTTGTATCTGGGTTGGTTAATCCTTATTTTGACTAGGGAACCGTGGACCATCTGTAAAATGGAGCCTGTGGCACTGGTCATTCTTATAACTGAAATGCCAAAGGATGTGAAGTGTGTGTCAGAGATGAGAAATTTTTGGTTTGAAGCTGATTATTCTGAAAGATGAAGACAAATGCTTCTACATTTTTCACTTTCAGGGAGAGGGAAGCCCTAATACTGGTAACCTTTGATACTGAAGGGGAAAGCAGTCTCCCTCCCCCAGCTGGATTGGCAGGGAGACACAGAGCAGCAGCTTTCTGCAGTTTTCTGGAAAGAGGGTGACCCATTATCCACAGAGGAGTTGCTTCAAGCTTGACTGCAGAAGACCACTCCAAGATATAAATGGGAGTGTATGGTTGTTAGGGACAAAATCTCCTTAGGAGTGTTAAAGAGTTACACCAATTAACATAACAGATAAAAAGATAACGTATAAGTAAATGAAGGTAAAATCTCCTGTAACCCTACTACCCACCTGTACACTGGCATCTCTGTTTACATCCTCCTAAAAGATTTTAAAGGCCTACGTTATCCTGGGTGTTCATTCCCACCTCCGCTTCCCCCTCCCCAAGTGCCCTACCACACTACACAATAATCTTTTCTCTGTTCTTGGCAGCTTGGAAGAACTGTGACAGGATGGGTGCAGCGAACTTTCCAGAGCACCCAGGCAGCTACAGCTTCCTCCCGGAATTCCTGTGCAGCTGAAGACAAGGCCACTGATCCTCTGCCCAAGGACTGCCCTGTCTCCTCTTACAACGAATGGGACCCCTTAGAGGAAGTGATAGTGGGCAGAGCAGAAAATGCCTGTGTTCCACCATTCACTGTGGAGGTGAAGGTAAAGCAAGGCTTTCTTCATAGTTCTGAAGCAGGTTCCCTCCCCACCTTCTGCAGTCCGGCTTCTGCTCCCACCTCTGTAACTGCTTTCACTTTAGCTTACTCAGGACCACCCCAATGCACTGGCTGATGTTAAGTTATCTTACTTGGCATCTCTGCAGTATTTGACACTACACCAGTGACTGCTCCCTCCTTCGGGTTCGGAAAGACCTTTTCTGGGGATGTTAGTGCTTTCACTAGTCCTCACATCTTCTTTCTTCACTGTTTGGAATGTTGGGGTTGAACAGAATTTCACTTTAGCTGTTCTCACTTTGGTCCAGATCTCTCTCCACTCCACTCTGGTCCAGTTCTCTCTCTCTCGAATTCTGTCCAGATGAACACATTAAACTCCTTACTGGATATTGCCACTGGACCTCAGACGTGGCACAACTGAGTTCAACTGCCAGCTGCTTCGCTAATCTGAGTCCTTCATTCCTTCCTTTTAGTTTTTGGCATTCCTATGTTTTCAAGCTAAAACATCACACACTCATCATTTATTGCTCTTTCAGTCACATCCTTCTCATCCATTTTCCAAGATCTAACAAGTCTTTTGTCAAAATGAGCCTTGCCTTCATCCCTCTGCTATTACCTTGGGTCAGTATCTCCCCTACTGCCTGGACTATTGCTATTAACTCCTGACTACTCTCCCCGATTTGTATACTCCCTAAACCACCTCCAGCTTCTATCAGCCAAACTAGACTACTCACTGTTCTCCAAACAAGCCTCAGGGCTTTGCTCCCACCTAGGACTCGTGCACCTAACTTCCTGCACTCTTGTCTGCGGTTTAAACGCCCCCCTTACTACCACTAGTTCCTGTAGTACCTCCCACAAAGCTTTCCAGATTTCCCTGGCAGCAAGTAATATCTTTCTTTTTTTCAACTCTTAATGTTCTTTGTAATAGATTCTTATAACCAGAGCCTCTGTGGGCTGGTGTTTAGGTTGTATACTGCACAAGGGTCCCATCCACACTGGAGACACAGCCTAAGCTTCCATTAATAATGGGTTACAAATATAGCTTCAGTGTACTTAAATTCTTCCTGAATATTAACATTTTTATTTGTAATGTGGGTTGAGGAAATAAGTTCTGTTACATCACTGTCAGTATCAGAGATGTTGCCTACCTAGTATCAGGACTCCAGAGTTATTAGCACAAAAGAACTTGCTTTCTTTGAGGAGAGATACGATGTTTACGTAGAAGCAAAGACTAAGTATCTCATGGCAACTGGCAAGGCAGTTGAATTGAAATGCCAGGAGAGTGAAGGGTAAAGCAATGACCAAATGCTGGATAGTTAGGAAGTCTTCTCAAAGAAAATGATTCCTGAGTTAGACCTTGAAGACAGGGTAATAGAAAAAGTAATAACTTCTTCTAATTGTTCTGGAACTACCTTTGGTTCTGATACTTGAAATCTGATGAACAATTTATATATCATTCACATGTTTAAGAAAGGCATGATCTTTTAAAAATTCTTTTCTTGGAAAGAAGTCCCATCCCCTAACCATTTTAATTGGGTGAAATTAAATTTCTAATTCAGGCAGTCATTTATCCTTATACTTGTCTTTAAAATTATTGACTTTTATACCATGTGATTGTACAGAATGAGAATTCTTACATATTATTCTGAGTTCTTTGCCACTTGATTTATGACTTTAGATTTTGTAATTTCGTGGGCTTGTGGGAACTGTGCCTGGCTCAATTCAGGAGATCAGGACTGAATTAGGTATTTGATAAAAGCTTATTAGCTAATCAGTTAATTACCTGTTTGACCTCGTGATCCTGATACCGCTCCCCGCCCCCATTCCTGGGCCTCAGTAAAATGAAGATATTAAGAGGTTTGCTGTCTACCTAACAAGATTAAATACCAAGGTAAAAAGTTACACGTTAAGTATTTTTAAAGGACAGAACCACAACTCATTATAGTTGTATGGATGCAGTTTGCCAATGACCTTTAAGTCCACTGAGGGTGTAATGATAAT